TCACCCCCCTTTCTGCACCTGCCCTGGAGCAGAACTGGGGGCAGAGACAATTCTGGGCGGTAGCAAAGAGATCTACCTGGGGAGCTCCCCACTCTCGGAAGAGTTGCCAGACGACCTCCCAGTGGAGTGACCACTTGTATTGGTGGGAGAAAACCCTGCTGAGGTGATCGGCTCACGTATTGCGCGTGCCGGGTAGATGAAAAGCTCTCAGAGAAATATCGTGGGCTATACAAAATTCCCATAGGTCCAGGGCTTCCTGGCACAAGGCCAAGGAGCGCGTGCCCCCTTGCCTGTTGATGTAATACATCGCGGCCATATTGTCTGTGAGGACGAAGTGAACTGAAACATGTAACCCTTGGAAATGGTGCTGAGGACCCATTGGTCCGATGTTATACGGGACCATTGCACTCGGAAGGCAGATAAACGGTTGCAGAACATGAACTTTATTAACTGGGGGCCTTCCCTGGCAACAGGCTTGGTGGCCCCCCTTAAAGAGTCAAAAGCGCCTCTTCCCCTGCCTCTTGCCCTTGGAGGGGCCAGATCACGGGGCCGAGCGAGACTGGCACTGGGACCTACGTCTCTGCTCCCTCGGCCTCTTAGGTGGTGGCTCATATCTTCTGCCTCCAGCTGGAGGAGCCGAGGTCTGTGGCCTAGGTTTGTCCTTAGCTCGTGGGACATATAAGCCCAGAGTTTGCAGGGTGGTGCGGGAGTCTTTCATCCCGTGCAGACGTGTGTCTGTCTGATCTGCAAACAGGGCCTTCCTGTCGAAAGGCAGGTCCTGCATGAGGGACTGGGACTCCGCGGACAGCCCCGATAGCGAGAGCCACGACGCCCTGCACATGGCAACAGCCAAGACCATGGAACAGGCCGCTGTATCTGCTGCGTCTGAACCCACTTGGAGGGCCGCTTTCACTGCAGCCACTCCTTTGTTGACCAAAGCTCTGAACTCCTTCTTGTCCCTATCCTGGAGAAGAGGTTCGAACTTTGGCAGGGACTCCCACAAATTAAAATCACACCGGCTCAGTAGGGCTTGGTGGTTTGCCACCCTGAGCTGGAAGCTCACCTAAGAATAAAACTTCCTGCCGAAGGTATCTAGTCTCCTGACGTCTTTATCCTTGGAAGTGGGCACGGGTTGGCCATGCCCTTCTCGGTGGTTTACAGACTCCATCACTAGAGAGTTAAGTGCCGGGTGAGAGTACAAGTATTCGTGCCTTTTTGCTGGCACAAAATACTTTCTCTACACCTATTTAGAAATAGGCACCAAGGAAGCCGGGGTTTGCCAAAGTGAGGTCAATATGTTGGCCACCCCCGGGTGGAGAGGTAGGGCCACATGGCCCGGTGTCGAGGAGGACAACACGTTGAACAGGGTGTCCGATGGCTCCTCCATCTCCTCAGCCTGGAGCTGGAGATTCAAGGCCATCCATCTAAGGAGCTCTTGGTGAGCCTTAAAATCTTCCTGCAAGGCAGGTGGGGGTGCCGCTATGGATTCCTCCAGTGCTGGAGAGGGGACTGGGTTTGCACCCAGGGCGTCGGGCGGTACCGGTGGTTCAGCCCCCAAGTCCAAGCCCGGAGCAGCTGGTTTGGTGCCAGTTGACTTTTCCCGGTGCCGGGGCGGGGATGTTGAGTGTATCTGCAATGCCCCAGCCACCAAACGGGGTCTCGCCGGTGCAGGTAGTTGGGGCCATGGTGCTCACGGACACCACTACCCTTGCCAAGGTGCCCCTTGTCACTGACTAGCATGGGGACTAGTGGAGCCGCTTGATCGTGAGGAGTGGCGCGGCCCGGGGACGGGCGGCTGGGCGCTGAAGCCAAAGCCACTGAGGAACGCACGGTGCCCTATGAGCATCGGGAGCGTTCACGGCAACATCGGTGCCAGCCCCGAGATTTAAACCTCGACGACAAAACCTGTAGCCATCAGAGGTACTGCTTCCCGATTCTCCCCGTCGACCATAGCTACGATGCCTCGGTGCCGGTGACTGTCGAGGGGCGCTTCGAGCAGGACGTCTGTCGGAGCAAACACTCGAATCTGAGCGTTGGTGCCGATGGCGTCTATACCTGCTCCTATAACTTCGGTAGGAAGAGGATCATTGACGCCTCTTTTCTCAGTGCCTGCGACCCCTCTGGGTCGTGGTGGACCCTCGGGACTGCCTCTCAGGCGAATCGGCCAACGGAGTGGAAGTCTGACGCAGGCTATGAGATGGCCTCGCGGGACGGGTAGGTACCTCATCCCCAGAGAGGGGGCTATGCCAGACCGGGGAGGGTTGATGAGCTCCCAGCGGCGGCTTCCCGCGGGATCGGGGGCCCGTCTCGGGCAGCGTGCCTGGCACCGGAAGGGCGAGGATATCACGCGCTGCCTGCACTGCCTCCAGCGTCGACGGGATCCTCAACGCAGGAGAGAAACACGCGGACGGGACCGACTACTCCGCTCAGCGTGAATCAGAGGTCTGGGTCCCGAGGGCAATCACGGGCTCCCCAACTCGGGTCCGGCCTCACCCCTGTCTTTCTCTCGGCGCCGCTGAGTCTTCCCTTGCTTCTTAGTGGGGGAGCAGTGCCAACTGGTTGATGAGACGTCGCTCTGCACCGACAACGTGCTCGAAGCCAAGTCGGGTCGGCATGTTGGTGCCGGGGCCAATGCTGACTCCATTAGTAGGGCCCGGAGACAGATGTCCCTTTCACGCTTCTTTCTAGATTTGAACGATCTGCAGATTTTACAAGGCTCACTTACGTGAATCTCGCCCAGACAGCGAAGACACTGAGTGTGTGGATCGCTCCTGGGCATAGAACTGTGACAGGAGTCGCACGACTTGAAGCCTGGGGCATGGGGCATGCACCAAGCCAGGCAACTAACTAGAGAAGCAATCTACGATGAAGAGTTCTACTATTAAGGCTAGAAGCGCTACAGCAGAGCTGGAGCACAAAGTTCCGACTACCTTCACTGGCTGCAAGAAGGAACTGAGGGTGAAGGGAGTGTGCAGCTTCCCTTATAGCGCGATACAGAGGCACCACTCCAGGGGACACAGCGGTGCTCCCCCACTACGGGTACTGCTAAGGGAAAAACTTCCGGCACCGGTGCACGGTGCACGTGGCGAGCACACATACCTACTGTGGAATACACAGGAGCAATCATTCGAAGAACCAACAATATATTTGGGGGTGACTCACTACCTGGGTCTCAAAAAGCACTACATAAATAGGAATGTATGTTTTTCCAACCTCAATTTTTTAGATCTGTTTTTAAATCTTAAGTAGACCCTACCTTAGAGGGAATGTGGATTTCTCCCAAGCAGCAGAGAGGCTGATTGAATCTCCATCGCTCCAAGGGAAGGACGTGTGGCACATATGGGAAGGTTTGAAGTTCAGAGTCTTCGGCATAACTCACACATGGGGCTGTGGATGAGGGCTGGGAGGTGAGGGCGGGGGTGAGGGAGAGAACAGGGACTCAGAGGAAAGAAGGGGTGAACCCTCTCAAAGTGTGAACTTGTGCTAACAGAACAAAAAAACTAAGAAGAAACTAAAATGAGAAAGGCATAAGAAAGCCAAGGGTAGCCAGCTGCATAGTTCAACTACTGGGCACGGACTGCTCCGTTGCAAGACACCGGCAGTTTATTGGGGTATGAGGGTGAAGAGGGACACCACTGACAAAAATCGCTGAGCAAGAGTGCACGAGCAGGCAGCGTATACGGACGTACAGCACCCACAGGGACACTACTCAAGGAAGAGAGAGAGAGTGTGTGTGTGTGTGTGAGATTTCTATGAGTGAAGTGTCAACACAGTCTGCCATGCAATGCCACATGCTACAACTACTTTTCATGAACTGTACTCTAAAAATTCAACATGTACAGTGAATGAACATCCTCAGACTTTCTTCCACTTGAGATCTTGTTGACTATAGGCCAATGACTGCTAGACAACTAAAGAAATGTTTTATTTCTGCAGCTTAATAGCTATCCTGCTTGCCAATCTCAAAGTTTTCCCACCATAGGAGTCAAATGGCTAAACAGGCACAAATCTGTACTTGTTTAACTTATTTTTCATTGTACATGCATGGACTTTTATTGTCATTTCATTGCGTGAACACAACACACTGCCGCAACACACAGTCATTTGTCATCTCCCCAGCAAAACAAGGATTCATTAACCTCGTTGTGTGCAGATTTGTCCATCTACTTCCAAGTTATTAAGATCGCTCAGCATCTGTTATTACTATTACTTAGAATATAACCTAGCCCCTTTATTTTAAAATTCAGTGGGACAAAACGCAAAAATACATCTATTCTGCACCTGTTCAATTCTGTATTTCTTCAAAGGCATTATTTAGAATTTAAACTAGATTTGAAATCAACTTCAACTGAAGTTTTTTCTGGGACAAAGAGGTACAGATGAGATTCTACCTTTGCCTTCCCCATAATGCCACTACTTTGTTCATTTTTCAAAAGAAAGTACAATTAAATACCCCACACATGACCCAGCTCTCCGGCCTTGCATAATAGCGGTCTGATCCTTTGCATTGTAGCCCACTATCCTGCCAATAAATTGCAATCTCAACTTTTTAAAGTCGGCATTCTTATAATGATTTAGTTTCTGCAAAAGAGTTTATTACAAGAAATTTGTATACAAGTTCCACCTACAATTTCTTGAAATTAAGTTCTCTGCTTTTACAAACCACATTAGACTTTTCTATACCACATGAGGAATGAAATTAAATCTGGGAATTGGTTTAAGTGTTATGAAAGCCCCTTTACTGAGAAGGTTAACATGTCTTTTAAAACTAGATCCATATGTCTAAGGCATCAGTATGGGACATATTTCAATAGCAGTCATTTCTAACTGCATAGAATGTGCATTAGTCATGTACTGAAGCCAGACAAGCTAGCAGCAGTTAAAGGGCCTTGTTTCCACTAGGTCGTAAGCCAGTAACACTCTTCAAAACTCTCCTTTATTAAAATATAAATTGTGTACTTAAATGGAAAAATGAATCTTTCGTTTTCATGAACACTCACCTGGTCCATGTAAATTCCATGGGCAGTGGATTTGCATCAGCATTACACCGGAGCTGAACATGCTCTCTTCCAATGAACCAGTTTCCATCATACCCAGTTACTGAAACTTCAGGGGCATCTATAAAATATGAGTCATTTCACATTCCGATATTCAAAGTACATTACTTAAAAGGAGACATGCATTGTTTAGAATGAGATGTCTCCATATTGTATTTAACTAACAGTATGGCAGTGCTTAATCTCCAATGAGCAATGGTAGTCCTACCTGGAAAGCTTAGTAAATTACATGTATACATGTGTAGTTGGTATCAGAGGCTTAACATAAGCAAATCAGTGGGCCCCATAAGTTTTTAGTTTTTTAACTGAAACGAGTGGAGATAATTCTATAGTCTTTACATCAACAATGCCAATTTTTAGCATAATGCAGTGCTAACTTCAATAGTTCAAATATACCAAATTCTGTGAATTCAAAAAAATTCATATTACACGGTGGTAAATGATGAATTGCACATACAACATGAGTAACTTCTGGCTAATGATTTATACTGTAGTAGGTATCGGCACTGTGCCTATGTTAATACTACTAGTCAAACCAACAAGGAACTTTAGCGTATTCTATTTTTAATTTTTTTTAATTTCTTTTCAAAGGACTCAAAAAGCAATTAATAGTGATAATGGCTCCAATCTGAATCCCATCTTCCCAACTTCTTTCAACCCCTCAGTACGGCAGTCTTGCCCACAGAATCTCACACTAACCCAGCTGTAGAAAATGTCTGACAGTTTTAAATACACACTTATTGGAAGGCTTCAACTGGTGTGCTTGGGGCAAATTCACAGTATTCTACAACACAATGTAACCATTCAAATATAACTGACACACCAATTGAAAGGGTCTGCTACAGTAAAAAATAAAGTAAAAATTACACTTAAGTAATCTGAGGTCAGAATTCAGAGTAGGATAGTTGCTCTCAGTCCAGGACAGCAGGTTCAACTACTTCCTCCAAATGCAGGTGGCACAAAGGTTGAAAAGGAGAGAAAGGCTTGAAATCTCTCTCTCTTTCTCCTCACTGAAGCCACATCATTCCAACTCTTATATAGTTTAGTGTTATTAATGTATGTTTGAGGCATATTATGGATATTGGTTATTGCTACTGGGTTCGGCCAGAAAGGTTACATTACAGAGACTGGCAATTTCCTATTAGGCCGGTCTCTCTTCAGCTATTGTCATCACTAATGTAAGGATGCAGCTTTTTTCTCTCCAGACTGCGCACTAATGCAAATGACATGTAGGGAGTAGCAGTTTAAAAACTGGCAGTCTTCCTCAACAGGACTGCCTTAATAGTCAGTTAATCTTCATTTTATATTTACACATAAAAAAACACCTTATGATAATGTCCTTCCTTATTCGTGTATCAGGGCACAGGGCCTGGATGGAGTATTAACAGTTCTCACAATCTGCTTCTTATTCTTATATTTATTTATCACTACTCCAGTACAATACTCTACTTGGTTCAAGTGTGGAGATTCAGAACTCAGTTGAAGACTGTTAGTATACGTTGAAACAAAACACTAAGCAGAACTCCTTCTCTATTCATGCTCAACACAATTTTAAAGAACTCTAGGCAAGCTCTCATAAGTATGAAGTCCCATATCTTTTTATAATTTGTTCTGGAAGTTGTTAACGTTTCTTCGTTTCTAACTAATATTGGGGAAAAGATGCGTAACATAGTCTAAAGTTCTTTCCAAATTCAATTACAGACATTAAAACCAGCCAATCCTCCAATACAGACTGTTCTAACATTGTTAAAAGTTCATTGATTGAATAGAACATACTTGTCTTTCAAAAATGTTCTTTACAATTCTTACAAGTTTTTAATAGTGGGTTTACTTGATAGGATACTGTAAGGCTCTGTTAAAGGAGGTTGTGTATTACTTGGAATAGGTCATAATTTTAGTCTTTTAATACCATTTCAAATGTTTCCTGATTCCATGTTAACAATTTTACTATCAATAGCATTCTCAGACCGTACGTTTATTTATTATGGTATTGCCCCAAGATAAATGAAGCCAAAAAATCAATAATTATACTAAAGTCTCAACATCATTCCCGTCCTTCATACACCAAATCGATTACCAGTGGTAACCATAAAAAGAAACTGTTGTTTAAATTTACTGAAAATTCTCTTTTCGTCATGTGTTTATGCCACCAACTAGTAACTGATGGTAAATATTTAATTTTTTGATACAACGGATTACAGCAAGGGACCTGATTTTCAGTAAGGAGAGAAAGTATCTTTAAAATATTTTTACCACTCAGTTGCTTTTCTGAAGTAGTAATTAAGTTACTCTAACCCATCAATAGATGTAAACTACAAGCTTTTTCTATTCTGAGATCTACATCTTACACTTCCTTTCCCCCTCTCCTGCACACCCAGTAGTGTGTTATAGTTTGTGTTTGAAAATGGATGCCTAAAGCTAACATTTTGAATCCTTAGGAACCCACATTTTTCTGGACTTCTGAAAATTCGGGTCATATATTTGATAGCCCAACTTTAGGCATCCATTTTGGGTTATGTGGACTAAAGTTTGTAACAGCACATCAAAATGACCAACATAGCATACAATGTAAAGTTTTAAGAAATTCAACTTATTTATGGCAAGTTACAAGTTACTCTTCAATGGGGAGAAACTGACTGGAATTTATTTGGGGGGCAACTCTTGTCAAAGTCAGCAGGCCATCGAGCACAGCACTATTAGTGGTCAATCTAGGGAGATATGTTAAGGCCATGTCTTCAAACTGCAGTTTGACCAGGGGAGTGTGAAAAGGACTGCACGCCAAGTCCTGTACTTCAACTCCCCTGCATGGATGCCGTGGGTGTGAACTAAGAGGTTCCTAAATTCACACTAATGTAGTCCTGTTTTAAGAACCTCTTAGTTCAAACCCACAGTATCCACATGGGGGAGTTGCAGCTCAGCACTTGGTGTGCAATGATATTCACACTCCCACCATCCAAACTGCAAGGCATTGTAAACAAGCCCTACATTTGTTAGGGCTTTAAACTGTGACCATCAAGACAGTGTTTGTCAAGTAGCCAGAAGTTCAACAGCAAAGGGCTAGAAAGAGGTCTTTTATTGTTTTATTTGTTAATGAACTGAAATTTAAGTAGTACATGTGCCATACTTTTTGCTTGTGATATGCTAACAACAGTAAAGATGCAGAATCCAAAACAATCTGGTCATACACAGAAACTTATTTGCTGCAATAAAGACACAAACATTGCTAACAGATGAAAGCGCTGCAAATTTCTACAGCTGAGATAGAAGGGGCAGTTATGAAATTATAAAGATTATTATTAGGGTCAAATAATGAGGAGGGCTTGGTAATTTATCATCTTCTGTCACTTGTTTCTTTTAGGGACGTCAAGTTTAACAACAATTTATATTAAGAAAGAAAATAAACTTCCAAGTGGAGGGATTCTCAAATTATCCACACTATCTCTAACACTCTCAGTAGCGTAGTGAATGATCTGGTTAAGCATAGTTATCCCAGAACATTTTTCATCACTGAAGTTCTTTGGGAATATCATGACTTGTATTATTCCAAATGTGAAAGAAATGGCAACCACCATTTCGAGTGTTTTTAAATACCTCAATTCTTGTTGAAGTATTGGAGTATAAGCTTTCGTGGGTGAATGCCCACTTCATCAGACGCAAGTAATGGAAATTTCCAGAGGCAGGTATAAATCAGTATGGAGATAACGAGGTTAGTTCAATTAGGGAGGGTGAGGTGCTCTGCTAGCAGTTGAGGTGTGAACACCAAGGGAGGAGAAACTGCTTCTGTAGC